TATTTAAATGTTCTTCACATTCAAAGTCAACCCTAAATTCTGTCTTTTTTTCATCTTTGTCTTACAGGTTTCTTCATTTTTGTCTATTTCATATTGTCTTGGAAAAAGATCAAAGACTCTGCTCAAAGCACAGACACACGTACCACTAACAGCTTACAGAAGTAGCATCTCACCAAGATGCTTAACCTGATTTAACTATAATCAATAATGTACAATGATACACTCAAAAGCATGTTTGGCTGCGTATGAAAAATAATTCTAAGTTTTATAAAAAACTAACATAGCTGTATCCACTGTCAGTGGAATGTTAAGAAGAGAAAAATTGATCTACATTTTAATTGTGTCCACAACCCTCACTGGTCATTCATTCTTTGGATAACTGTGTCCATGCACAATGCATTTGTGTACTGTAAATATGTTATTCAAATTTTGCAATGTTTTATTTGATCACTTTACTTTGTGTATGTGTGTGGGTAAAACAGGCTATTTCTATGCAACTGCTGTTTTGTTATCAGCATTTACGCGATGCAATAAAATGGGTAAAATACATATCTAGCATGGTATCAGCAGGTTAAGAGCACATTTGGCTCAGATTGGGGCCAGGTCAGGTGCTCTTCATTCATTTCGGATTCGGAGCAGTACAAGGAGATGATGTGCATTTGCCCAAAATTGATGGATCAAGAAATGTTGATTCCAGCTCTGGTACGATTCTGGCCCCTTTGCTGGCCCACAACAGTAGGCTTCACCACTGGGCTGTGGTGCTAAAAGGCCCTGATCCAGATCTAAGGCCAAAACTTAAGTTGGTTCGGGGCCAAATACATTTTGTTGTCTGGAGGGGCTTTTGTATCATTATTAAAAACACTGCCTTGCTGTTATGAGTGTACATTTATGTAAAAATACTACTTTGCATTATGAAAATATAATTAGTAGTGAGTTTAAAATGATCTTGTAATTTTTTTGCAAAGGAATTATTTAACATGTTTGTCCTGAGGTGGGTTTTTGTTTTACTTTGCTTTTGAGTTTTATTTTGTTTCGCAGTTTAACTTGTATTTTATTCTCCAGTGTTAGTTCCTATTTTTTTGTTTGCTGTGGGGTAATTTATTTTATTTTTATTTTGTATCCATCACCATCATGCCATCTATATATAGTTTCCTATTTAGAATGTCTTGTTTTTTTTAACTATGGTTTATTCACATTCAATTTAAGGCCTGGTAAGGACAATAAAGGTTCCCACCCTTTCTTAAACTTTGAAGTAGAACGTCTGCTAAATATGTTAATGTACACTTCCTTTATCAAACAAGTGAATTGTAAATACCCACAATAATTTTCCACCTTAACATTTCACAAATGTTTGTAGTGCCAGCAGCTGTTAACCTCTGGAAATGATGCAGTCCCAATAAGTCTCTACAAGATTCTGCTCTTCATCAACGTTTTTCTCGCCACAGCTAACACTGGACTCCATATCAAATTGGATGTTTTGAGGGTGTTATATTGCCTCTGTAAGTTTGTTTTACTTCCACAACGTAGCAAAAGCTAAATCAGCCAACACACCACAACATCTGCTCTGCTCTCTATACTTGGATGGAAAGAGTTAATCCATATCTTGTGAATGTTTCTGTAAGTGTTTTTCTCTCCTTTTTTATTGTTAGTGATTTTTTTGTTAATTTGAAAATAACATACTTGTATGAAAATATTTCAGTAAATCAATGAAAGTTTTGTTTATTTGTAATGAGACTTAATTATCACATTACAAATGATCTTTTGTTGAAAAGCTTTTCAAGTTTTAAAGAACACATGAAAAGGCAGCTTCAGTTCCTTTTATCTCTATGTAATATATGCAATTTGATCTCATTTAAGGTTAAAATCATATAGTGTTTACCATGTTCATTTGCGCAGACATGCTTGAGAAAACCTTTCAAAAGCATTTCCTGAGTGATTAGAAATTAATTTGTTTATTCCCAGTTTCCGTTCATTGCACCTATACAGAGGGAGAACCATGGTGACTTTACTGCTGTTGCTGCTGCTGCAGGAATCACTGGCCGACCAAGGTATGAACGTTTGTTTAGTCAGAAAACTGAGAATGCAGTATGTTGTTTGCATTTTACCGTATCAAAAGATAAATCGGTAGATAAGGTGTAAGGGCTATTTGTGCAGCTCATGCAAAGATGAATGGGTGTGTTTATTTCAGAATCTATTGCTACCTTATTACATGGATTCCTTTGAAACCTAAAAGAGAAACTGTTCCAATAGAATTATGTATCTATAACTATTCCTTTTTTGTCCTTTTATTCCATAAAAGAATCTTGTGAATGGTAAAAACAGAGTACCTATTTGTATTTGTGCCGGTAGGTTTTCATTTGGGAAAATGGGATCCAACGTCACAATCGAGATGGAAGCTCCTCAGGTAAATTGAAATATTATTAAGATGCTAAGACAAAACAATTGTAATTGAAACTGTGTGCCAGTAAATGTTGGCGGGAATTTTTGACCTCCATAAAGTCAAAATGACTTCTGATGTGGTTATGACGAATATATTGATAAAGATTCAAATTAACCTGTTCTTTTTATTCCATTGTAAAGGAAAAGACAAAATGCCCTGTGTTTGTTTCATTTTTTTATTTTTCATGGTTAGCTGCTGCCCCAAAAACGAGTCAGTTATCCCTGAGGTTTGGCTCCCTGTGAATGCCATACGGAACATCCCACAAGAGGAGAGGATCATTGGACTGGTCAGCTACATGCAGCACCGCCATCTCCTGGTATATCATATGTTCTACATTCTTTATAATCTAACCCAGAGTCTTGACAACTTAATAATCAACAATGTCCTTTTTTAAGTTTAGTCCAGACATATATACATTCTTGATTAATTCATTTCAAAACTATTCATTAAGAGATACACATACATAGATAGCTATATAGCTCTTCTTGCCTTTCAGCCCTGCTCTATAACTTTCTCCATAACAGTTTGACGGGGAAAATATCCAATCGATAGTTCTGAGGATAGAGCTACTTGGAGAGAGACGCCTACAGAATCTGAAGCCACCGATAAAGTTGTATTTAAGCGCTGCTCACATGGACAACGACGTAAGTTTGAAGGTTTTGGGGTGTGTTCTTCGTGTTCCATCACTACTAGAAAAATGTTTTTAAATGGCCAGCATGGAATTTTTAATTTTATTGTAGATCATTTTTTCGTGTTTTTACAGAATCAAACACAATTGAGGTGTCACTATTTTGATGAATATGGTGGTCGTTTGACATTTATTTTCCCAATACCTCCCAGAGACAGTATCCTTGTTACTTAGTATGAAGAAGAGTTAGGGCCACATGATAAAAATAACGAAATACAAGGTAGGTCTTTTTGGGGGAACATGTTTCACTTTTTGTTCATGTATTTGGCAGACGATTTTATCCAAAGCGACTTACTGAGTAGAGAGGAGCTACATTGGTTGGGAATCGAACCCATATCAACTGCTTGGAAGGCAGCTATGCTAACCACTATACCGCCAACCTTTTTTCCAAGAATTAATTGAGTGTGTTAAGAAGAAAGTCACACTGTCGAGGGAGTTTTTCTACGGCCAATGTGTAATGTAGCCATTTCTAACAGGAGCAGTGTAAACCTGTTTGCGTTCCACACAGTGCAGAACCCTCATGGTTGGCTCCACGCGCTCAGACCCCACACAGACCCCATTAGGACGAGCAGGTGCATCTCATCAGCAACCGGAAGAATTTGTCTCATTAAAGAATAACAATCATTGAGCTTTATCAAAGACTTGTTAAATTTCAGTGATTCGTGTTGGTAGTTGTGCAGTGTACATAACATCCCTCCCCCTTTAGTCTAACCTCTTAAAATTCCTAAACGGAGGCGCGTGCATCTGGCTTATTTTACACCAAGTAAACTTTTAAAAAAAGCTAAACAAACAAACATCGACAAGCCCGCAAGTTCTCTAGGCAAGGCAAGTTTATTTGCACGGCACATTTCGTGTACAATACAATTACCAGTCTCATCGAACAAACAATAAGAAGACAAAATTGTAAGCTAATGCGTCGCAACTTTTCATTTCAAAAGCGTCATTTCACGGTTTTTCAGCCCAATTAGTTGCTTTTTACCATTTTTGTATCGATACAGTTTAACAGGCTTTGCTGTACTGTTACTCAGCCGGAGCATTGACATATGTCTATGAGTCGGAGCAAGTCGGACAATGAATCATCGCGATGTTTCGGTGCTCAGCGTGAACAGAATCTGAAGCGTTAAAGCAATCCAGATCCAAGTGTTTCAGGTTAGGACTTTTTAGATAATGTGCCATTCCTAACTGTAAAGTCTCCCAAAACACGAGAAAATATTGTTTTTCTATACAGGGGTTATACACACTTATATGTCATATTGAAATACAAGTATGTATATATGTATACAAATATGTCAGTTGAAAAACAGAAGATTTTGTTAATTGTTAAAAAATTAAGAATTTCCTCCCATTCCCCTTTTATTAAAATTGTAATGTATTTGATTCCATGTCCATGTTTCTATGATCTATCATTTATCAAGTGAGTAAAGTGAGGACGTTATCGACCTCTGCTATGGTTCCACCCTGATCATATTCCTCCATTTAGCACATTTTCCGCTTAATAAAAAAGTGGCTGCTTACAAAATGTTATCATTGACCATTGCAACCATTGCAATGTTCAATATGTTCAATTTAAATCATTTCCCGCTGCTATTATTATAGTATTTCTGATTCTGAATATACAAGCCCGGAATGAATGTTTAGGCTTTTATGAAAGTATTCCAGTAATTGAAAATGTTCTGTATCTTTGCCTTTACTTTCATGATTGGTGACCCCAAGATGGAAACTTTAGAACAACACAAGATTTCCTTTGAAATGTTGAGACTAATGTCAATCTCAGTTCTTAATGGTTCTTTACTAAATATCACTCAGGATACAAATCCCACTATATACTCCCACAGCAACTAGATGAATGCATCAGTGAGAGCTTTTCTAGGGACCCTT